ACATCCAAATTTCAATATTAAAATGGCCCTAGTTTCTATAATATATATTCTAAGGCCATGAAACTTGGCCAACTATCTTATAATTTCCTAAGCTTAGGTCATGCAAAGTTTTATTAAAATTGGTCAAGTCTTTCTATCCTATTAGGTCCAAGGACACAGTTATCGTCCTTTGGTTTTCGTTGTCTACGAATATAGTCCCTAGTGTGAACAGTGTATAACTTGCATTTTTTTTTTATACACTTTCCCAAGTTATTTCTTGATATTTTATGCATGAAATATTAAGTAAGGGGATGAAATTACATGTTAAAAACATTTGGGTGCTGAATCTTTATGTTAAGTAGTGATTTGGTCCAGTTAAAAAAGGTCAAAAATTAGAATGTCTGAAGCTGTCAAACTGAATTTTAGCCCCCCTTAACACAGAATTGTCAATATTTTGAGTTAGAGCTGGTAGAAATTTCTATAATTTTGATATTATTTGTATCAATAGTAGTACACTACACTGTAAAAATTGTTTTGAGATAGAGCAGGTGCGATTTTTTTAATTTGAATTTATTGTCTAAAAGAAATGCACTACGAAATAACTGTGTTCTCGGGCCAACATTTTCCAAAAGACCAAATGAGTGAAAAAGTATATTTTAACAGAACGCATTTGACTAGCAGGTCGAACAACTGATGTTCTTAAACCCTGCTGACTGCCATTGGCGATTGCCAAATAAACGGATCACAAGATGGAACAAAATAGATCTTATTATTAATTAATTATCAAACAGAAAAATAATAAACTTGCGGATAAGATGATATACCGCAAACATGAGGTGCAAAAATTTGTACACCATATCCGGATTTCGACAATTAATGTCTCTTCAGTGATGTTAGGAATCAAAACGGTATTTGGAAGGCCATATAATTTACCTCAATTTAGGATAGACTCTTGAATTTTGAAAGAGTCAAAATAGGATGAACGGATCATATAAACCCGAAGGTTTATATATATAAACAAGTCTAAACCTATAGTTGCTAATTTATATTGATTCATCAATTGTTGATTAATGAACGTCTTGTTGCAAATATTTCATGTGACTGGGTATTTATACATCACAAACAACCAAAGGATACCCATAAAGGTGACTATTATTATTAGCCCCAGTGAACCTTTAGGAGATTAAAGTCATGTGACCTTTCAATTGAAAAAAAAATATTAATATGTTTAATATGCTTGAACAATTTTACTAGAGATGACCAGGATATTGACGAACGAACGTATCTCGACGAACGAACGTAATAGGACCGGAGCGGTAATTGTATGTTTACAAAACGTACTTTAAACTTAACGATGTTATTATTTGGATGGCATGTAATCATGATAATAGACAGTAACGCATAAAATATACCGATGTAAAAAGGTTTTCATAATATATTTGAAAGACGTTTTAAAATATCCGCAAGTGTTACATATCTACGACATAATGTGATTATTATTGTTGAAAGCATGATGAAATGTACATCACACATAGGATTATTCGAGTGCACCGACGACTTTCGCAATGCTCAAACAAATATTTATGCAGGATTTTGAAGATTTGAAATTATTTATAAATTATAAGATTACTGAATTACTGTTGTCGGATCTTATGTTTGTTCAATATTTTTATTGGGAGTTCAAGTTTCAAAGCCTCCCCCCACCCCGTCAAGGGTGACTGGGGAATAGTAATATAGTCATTACAGGTATTCTGCCGATCCTTTTTTTAAAGGGGATTTAAATTTACACAAGGGTCCATCAATAACGCACACGAAGACAACTTTAAAGCCTTACATGTATATAAAGTGTAATCCTATCCAGTATGCACATACTCATGGCATCCTCTGAAATCTTTTTTTTTTGGCAATTGTTGAAATACGTTTCAAAGATTTAAGTATTTCAAGTTTCATTGACTTCACGAAATACCCAGAAGGCAAATGATATGATCGATAATCAATATTATTTAAAAGAAGGTACGTCAACCTTTTTTTTTTATTTCGGAATGTTGATATACTGCCTTTCTGTTTTGCTGAGCTCACGTGGGGAAAAAGGGTATTTCTGTCCTCCCAATAATAAACCTATAGGTCTTTTTTTTTTATTAACTTTTAGAATGTAGAAACGATTTCGTCTAGTGATATACTTATTGATATAGTGTATAAAACAGTTAACATGAAATCACTGGCAAATAAGTTATTTTGTACTTATCAAAAACTTAAGCTTTTTCCCAAAATTTCCACATGAGTAGGGAACAAGCCATAGTAGTTGTAAAAATGTCACAAAATTAGTTGCCGTAAGTATGTTTAAATCAAAATTTCAAAATTATATTCTCCTTATATTATCAGATTTTACCAACATGTGATACTCTGCAAGGTGAAACGTACTTTAGATCGATCTGTACGCATGAATAGGATGATCTGGTCCAACTTCCCTAGAGTTATATCCATTTTTACTCAGAAAGTTGGACCCTTAACAGTATGCAACTCATCTAACGCGGTCTGTTGGATAAATTGAGCATATACATGTATCTGTTGTTGTTTTCGGTTTGCAATCAGAAAACGTAATGAGCATCAAAGATGCAATAGCCGAGTTGCAACTCTATTTTTATTATCAATATATCAATATACTTAACTTCAATGCCTTTTGAAGTATCAACTTTTTTTCACAAAATATTCGTAAAAAACTCTTTTGGCTACACATTATTTTTAATTTGGGCAGAGGTTCTCTGCATCCAGCCTTATTTGACTGTACTGTGGGTATAAGCCAACTAAAATAAGTGAGAAAAAAAAAACAGATTTGAAATTGATAATCAATCATATCAATTATATAAAAAGCGTCAATATCTATGCTATCATTCTTGTATTAACTCCGTAACGCATTTTAATCCCTTTTGGAACCTCATTTTCAAAGCAGAGTCTTGTTTATCGAATACACCTTTTTCTATTGTAGAAAACATTACATTATTAATCACCAATACAACGTGAGGAGTTAGCTACAGAGACAGGAAATATCTCATGTAAACTTAATGCAGACGATGCGAATTCCTTAACTTCAACAAGAGTTTTTATGTTACGATTTATGTTTTTCATGTTCTATGTATGAAAAGCAGCTCCTGTTTTGTACGATGCGTCAAGTTACGCTTTCGTACGTTCGTTCGTCAATATCCTGGTCATCTCTACTATAACACAAGTGTACTTGGTATTACTTGTAAAAGAAAGTTCTTTATCTTATCTTTAGGAAAGCACCGCTATTGAAAAGTTGTATTCCCGTTCTCTTGTTCGCAGATATCCTTTGTGTATGCATCTTAACCACGAGACCTATCAATACAAAAAGCGAACTATTTTCTTCTACAGTATTACATCAATACGCTGCGGACCTATGGTTGCTAACTTCTACGTCATTTGGTCTGTAGTTGAGAGTTGCTTAATTTGCTGTCATACCAAATCAAAATCGTCTTATTTTTATATTTGATTGAGATTTTCTTCTGGATAACTCAAATATTAAACACAATCTTTACTCCTTCTGTATTCTGTTAATGTATATCTTTTTGAACTTAGTCAGATGTAACTAAGACAAGTAACGAGAAAATCTTTACGACGAAAGAAGCATGGCAAACCATCCGACAACCAACAAGAAGAAAAAACATGACACCAATAAACCAAGCGAACAACACCATATGCACTCAATATCTTACGTTCTGCCATACAGCAATTTTCAGAATAAGCATGATACAATTTCCAAATATCTACTTGTTTTCCACACCTATTTTGTTATCAAATTGCTGTTCTTTGCATTGTCACCGAAGCTTTAAGTGCTGTTGTTTTGATTTGTTCCCATTTTTAAATACCGTCCTTGTAGAGAACATACCAAATATCGGAACTAACATTGATGTGTTTTAATAGTTTATACATGATTAAGCAGGAATTGCTAACCATTTATGAACACTTATAATTCTACAGTCGGTCGATACTTATATTTTGACATTGTACAAAGTCATGCTTTTCTTGGACTGCTCATGACGTCTTCACACTAAATCAATTTAAGGTGTACTGATTGATATTTTATCTTGGGAAAATTTTATAAATATTTCATATGAAGCTTTAGAACTTGCTTGCCTTAACTGCAAACACTTTTAGATCAGGACATTGTGTCCTTTGTCTCTCTGTTAGTTTTTTTTTTTTTTTGCTTAGTATCGATTTGATGAGTCAAACCATTTCCAACTAAATTAAGTTTTTTTTCGGGGTGCTGTTACACCACTGTTCAAGGTTATGGGAGGGTTAAGCAATCACAAATATGTTTACGCTGCAACATCTTTTATTTAGCTGTCCCATTGGTTTATTGTGGGTTTCTATCTTCCATAGCTATTTTCATTTATTGAGTTTATCATAAATCAAGGTCGGTTTTCTGCTTGATTTGGATTGATGCACATTTTGGACATACCTTGGATTTGTTACAGCTTACTACACGGTATGTGTTTGCTCATTGTTGAAGGTCATACGGTGACCCGTAGTTGTGTATGTCTTAGACATTCTGTCTCTAGTGGAAAGATGTCTCATTGGCAATACTTACACATATCATCATTGTTAAAACGACCAAACTATGTCATGTATTCCATTAAATTGAACATTTAGTTGAACATTTTTATTGTTGTAAAAATATAATTGTATTGCAGGACGTTAATCCTTGATGGATAGTAGGTCAGAATTAAAATAAATATCGCTGAGCGTTTATGTAACACATTCAAATATACGACATAATATTTTAAGAATCCGAAAGAAAACTCACGAATTGATAAGATTATGTTTCAGTAAAGATATATAAAAAAGACTTTCAGAAGTTACAAACGCTGCGAGATATTTATCTTTGAAATTGGCGAGGTGTTATTCAAGTCCACGTTGTGTTTAAAATCATATAACAAAGCAAAATAGGGTGTGAATAAATAAAATCTAACAGCAGCTTTTAAAAGGTCAAATAACGTGTGAAAAACATATGAATATGGTTTTATTTGAGTAATTCATAAAATTAACACACTCTGAAGAAGAAAACGCATTCAGAAATCCATCCAATTTCTGTTAAAACAGTTTTATATTATCATCCAATGTCCTTGTTCTCCAGGGTCGCCTTTCCAACCACGAACTGTTCCAGATGGGTCGTTTTTCATATAGACAAACCAGTCAAGCCACTTTTCTGGTGACAACATGTAATACCCATCAGAAAACCTGATTACTTTCCACTGTCCACTAGAGCCAGGATTTCCTTTCCATCCATTCAATCTACCCGCTGCTCCACTTCTCATGTACACATACCATTCGGGCCATTTCACTGAACGCAAATAGAAAGTATTGTCTACTGACGAAATCGTATCAAAGAGGAAGTATCCTTGATTGTTTAAATTTGTTGTTCCAGTTATGGAACCATACTTATCATTGCGCATAAATGCATACCAGGTTGGCCATTTTTGGGTCCGAAATTTACGAGACCTTTCCCCTAAGAATGCCAGATTCTGAAAAGCAAGTTCACATTTGCCTAAATACTTCGAAACTTCAGGCAACTCAGATGGTTTCAAGTGTACAAAGAAAATAGCTTGTTGGTATGTGGGATTCGTCAAAAATTTTAAAAATTCTTTGTCGTTCGATTTCATATTCTGAATTACGTTTTGAATGCTATTCGCTGTTGACACACTATGTCCTGCTTGTTTGACAGTGATGTACATTTTCCATAGAACGGCGGATCTAAGGACAGTCAGCTTTACAAAAAGTCGCGTGTATTCAATTGCCCGTTTGACCTGCTGCTCATCTTGGCTTTTTGAACTGTCTCTTATCTTTGATTGTATTATTCCGAGGAATTTAACTCCAGAATAGATAGGAATATGTGCAGACAGAGCAGAAAGTTCATGTTCCTGTAAATCGGTAATTCCGTCAAGGTATGCTAATGAATCGCCAAATACTTTCTCAGTACCGTATGCTTCTGCTCTAAGGTTGGAATCGTCGAACTTTCTAAGTGCTTCATCGATAGCCTTCCTAACAACCGATCCAATGTCCGTATCACCGCCACCTATTGAGCTTACCAATCCAGATATTACCGTGAAAATGCTACTTATTATCGGACCGACTTTTGGAATCAGTTCTGTAATTGATGACAGGATGTCTAATGTACCAGAGACAATTTCTGCGACATCACCACTTGTCAAAGATGGAGCTGCACTACCGACGGCGTCTATTGTTGAGGCAATCCCGTTCAATCCATCGTCATCTTTTAGATATTTTTCTATTTTCCTAGTTGTTCTTTTGCTAATTGTTGATTGGCCTTTAAACTTGATCCGATTTTTCCAAGCGATGTCTGCCATCTAGCTTCTGTCGCAATGAAAATCAACATCATCAAAATCCATAGCAGAAGAACAGAACGCTTTTGTACTTTCATGTCTGCAATTAAAAAAAAATGATTTTACTAAGCTGAAAATAAATAGATTTAGTCTGTCCGTGTACATTTTCTTAGTAGACAAGGAAAACAGTTATTAACTTTTTAGACTCAGGACAATTTAATAGCAATTCCCTGTAATCACCAACAAAGTTGGGGCACGGTAAGTCTGAGATTGCTTTGCAATTTTGTGTTGGTAGCTATCGACATACATATAGGAAATATATTGACAAAACAAGTGTTTCTGTCCCCGTTGCCATGGTCTCCTTGGATTTTCATTTTCAGGCAGTTATCATGCACACATTTTAATTAACTGAATATTGTAAGATTTGTTCGTTAAAATATAACATTTAATTAGTTAGAATAAGGATTTTGTTAGAAATGGTTTCAAATATACCCATACTTTGAAAAGATAAACTGTTCAGAACGATTATTGCTTTTATTTGGTAATAAGGTTAAATGCAAGAAGTCCAGGTCATGTTAAAAGTTCTTAGCAACGACCCTTATAGAACATAACAAAAATACTTAAAAAAACTTAAAATCACTAAACAACCGCCGAATTGTATTTTGTGTTTTTATTGACCTGGCCTACAGGGCAAATTAAGCTTTTCTGATCTCTTGCCATCCGCCATCTTCGTCTGTAAACTTGTGCAAAATTCTGATTCTCTGAAATTGCTTTGCAAATTGGAACCAAAAACTTATCATTCTTATAATAAATAAATACTATAATATAGAATAAAAATTTGATTTTGCGTTTGTGCTTGAAATGTTATTCTTTTTTTTATTGTATCAATTGAACGCAAACATACCAGCTGAATCATACAGCATCCTTGGAGGCAATCTAGCATATTTAAGCTATTTTGTATTGAAAACTTTTAAAGATAGATGGAAAATTTAATAGCAAACATTTCCAACAAGACTGTTTAATCAGCATGACCGCAATTGCCCATTGACTCAATTTAGGCGTTATGCCCTTAAATGACGACTGTTACCCATTTTTAAGTCGAATTAAAAGTAATCTTGAAACTGCAATAAATATAGAAAAATTTATATAACAAAATTTATTAGCCAGACAAGATCTACAAGAAAGTCAAATCTGGCATGAATCTTCAGTCAACTTCCCCCTTCTAATGATGATTGTATCCTTTGTGTTTTGCTAAAACTTATTATCGATAAAGAGAAACTGTACACAGCTAAAACAATCAGCAAAAACAAGATGTTGAAAAACTATAAAGCACAGAGAGCGAATTCAAACTTGAAACATCAGAGTCAGTCAGCTATATTAGATATACAGACATGTCAACATGATCAAAACCAGTTTGTCTACTCCTTTTGAGTTATTGCCCTTCAGTAAAATTTTCTCCGATTTAAGTGTTTTTAACGAGAGCAATATTAGAAAGAGTAAATTGTAAAAAGCAACAATGTTAAGCAAAATAACTTCTACAAATAAGTGAATTGACAATCGGCACATATTACCATTCAAAGTCATTTTCGCCTACTTTTGTCTTTATGGCAATTATTAAAAAAATGTTTTAGTAAAAGAGTAACTATAACAAGTAAGAATAGGCAGAAGCAAGATCTTTAAATTAATTATCATTTTTATCTCATCATGGAAGTGTTTTCTCTCATTTAAAATAACAATATTTCTTTAATATAGAAAAACATTAAGCTAAAACAAATTATGGAATCGATTAAAATGCTCGGACGGCAAATATGAAAATGAAATGACATTAATTCAACACTTTCAGAGCAGGTTAAATTTTACTCCGAGTTGTTTATCACTGAGGGTGTGGACAAAAATAGCGCAGAAAAACTTATCGGACGTATTGACAGGAAACTGACGGACGATAATAGACAAAATATAGAACGACAAATTGACGTTGATGAATTAAGAAAGACAGTTAAATATCTTAAGAAAGATAAGTCTCCGGGAAGGGATGGGGTTATATCGGAATTTTATCATATATACTGGGATCTTATCAAAACGGATTTCACTTAAGTAGTTAAGGAAGTATTTGTAGAAAATGAACTCAGTAAATCGCAATACCAGGGAATGATACTACATAAGGAAGGGGAACAAGAATTAATAAATAAAAAAACAAAAAAAAACAAAAAAAAAACGGCGGCCTTTAAGCTTGATGAATACGGATTATAAAATTATATCAAAGATGTTGACAGAGCATCTAAAACCGTTATTAGATAAAATTATTCAATCGGATCAAAACGGGTAGAAATATAAGTGATGGAAATAGACTTTTACAGGATATTATTGAATATGTAGCACATGAGGATATATAGGGATTAGCTATATTTTTAGACCAGCAGAAAGCTTTTGATAGAGTCGAATGGGGATGGCTGATAAACGTAATGGAGGGCTTCAATTTTGGTAATAATTTTTGTAGCTGGACAAAAAAGCTTTTTCAAAATGCCAGCAACGTATTAAAACAAATGGTTTTCTGTCTAAATCATTTTCAATACGCAGATCAATCAGACAAAGATGTCATTCGCGCAAATGTAGAAATACAAGGAATCAAAATACCAACGATAAACGGCCACATTGAAACTAAATCATCAATGTTTGTGGACGATGCGCAACTTTTAAAAAATCCGAACTATTGGCTGAAAAAGCCTTTGAAATGTTGGAAATATATGAAAAAGCCTCCGGTTCCAAAATAACTTCGAGAAAACAAAAGTCTTGTTTATTGTTTATTGTTTAAAGGGCAAAAAACCAAGTTTCAAAAAATATCTTGTATCAAGGATAACATAAAAGATTTAGAGCTGCCCCAAGCTTATGACATTTATAACAATAAAATATAGGATTCCTTAATTGGCAAGATAAAAAACTGTATTCACGTTTGGAAAACAAGACATTTAACTTAGAGAGGTAAAGTATTGATTATAAGAAAACAATTAATACCTATTTTGGGATACGAGGTTGCGATGAGGGGTATACCTAATGAGTGTGATAAAGATAAAACAACTCAATTTCCTGGGATTTTGTTTTGGGCTCTAAAGTCAGCCTTGTCGACAGAAAAATATGTTGTCTAGATAAAAGCTTCGGGGGTATCAAAATGATCAGTTTCGAAAGTTTCATGAAAAGCAAACATGTAGAATTAATTTTTAGAATTTTAGAAAGTACAACACAAAGATGGAATGCAATTGCCAAATACTGGCTAACACACTTTGACAAAAAATTTGATATTGAATATTTTATATGTACCTGTAAAGATCTAAATGGAATTAACATTAACTATATATGCCAAATTTGTACTAAAAGATGGTTACTACATGGTATGAACTTAATAGTAAAATGACCGATTTTTAACAAAATAGCATTCTTGAATATAATATATTTTGTAACAACAATACAAAATGGTAAGGGAAACATTTGCTCTTCCCTTCCTTTACCAAGAGTCATATCGCCAAAATAAAAGATGTTTGGAATATCTGTACGGAAACCTTTCATAGTAATAAAATAATATTTGATTAACTAATAGATAAACGTAATTGGACATGCGAATACAATATAATAAAGAAATCAATCCCCACTGATTGGATTAAGGAATTAAGAAGCGCCATTCCTAATCCAACTAATTTGAAGCACATAAAAATCCAGAATAACAACATTCAAAATCATGATTTGGAAAAAACATGCATTCCAAAAAAAATATTCAATTAAAATGATTACAAAAAAAAAATAAAATATGTACTAGTGCAAAATGTGAAATTATATGAATAGAACATTTAGAACGGAACAAGACTTGCAATCAGTCTGAAAGAAGCTTCACAAGCTGCCTGTATCAAACAATATTTTCCAATTCCAATGGAAATCACTACATTGTATACATTATACTGAATTTAAATTGAATAAATTCGAAAGTCCGATGGCCTATGTAACTTATGTGGCAAATGTTTTGAAACCCAAGATCATTTATTCTATTATGGTTATAAAATTCAAAACGTCATTGAAGAAATAAAAATATTGCTATCTCTGTGCATAGATATACCGCTAAACTTTGATTCCAAAACATGATTATTTGATATAATCAAGATCTTCATAAAACGGAAATAAATATTGGAAATTTTATAGTGTTCTCGGCAAAATTTAGTATTTGGAAAGGTCGAAACGACATTTAATTCAACAAAACAGCATTTAATGAAACATCTATCCTCCTTATTTTTAAGAACGTTACGAATGATTTTATCAAAATGATCGCTTAATCAAAAAAAAAAAAAACACACTTATTCGAAATAGACAAACTTGACCGTTTATCTCAAATATTTTAATTACTATTAATAGTCGGATTTGCTTATTTTTTCCTTATTATTTGCTCTTTTGTAGATATATATACATTTTTATGAAATCGCTTATGCCTCGGTTTTATAGTTATAGTTATCATTTGAATACAAAAGGCACACTTTGAACAAATGTATAGATTACACATTCATTTACCAACAATCGTCATTATTTATATAAGTTAATTCTATATTTTATATTTTAAACATATTTATATTACATACTTCATAATTGTATTACCTTGTTTGTAATAGTATTTTACTCACCACAAATTGTGTTTCTTTATAAGTGCACATACATTTACTTCACAAATATTCCTTCATCTAAAATTCTAAAGTGTTTATATACTTTATTACCTAAAGCTTCAAGCAGGTGTCCTGTCGCTGTCAATATCTAAGAGGCATTTAACCTGGAACACAATTTAGATAACAAAAGATTTCATAATTCATTGTACAATATAAATCTTCCTCTTATACACAATAAAACAAAATATTTCTTTTGATAAACACATTATAAGACTTTTATGCGCATAGTATCGAAATACAATAAGCATTTTGATAAAATAATGGTCTCTTTGAAAATAGAATTAGTTTGCAGTCTTTGATATTTCAAAAAAAATGGAGGAATAGACAACCTGGAACCAAGAGTCTACATTATTCATGTAGGTCCCAGGTGCGACAAATTGTCATTTAATAGATAAATAAATAA